CCTCCACTGCAAGGTATGCTCATTGCTTCATTTAAAGCTGACACAAGGTACTGATCTGTATGACTGTATTAGAGCCACGCATCTGCTTCTATCTCTCTGATTTTATCAACGACATATGAATTGTTCTTCAACACTACTTGCCAGCACCAGCAATAGTGACTTCTTCCTGGTCATTTCGCATCACAAAAGCACCAGCCTTCATTGCCGTGACACATGCATATGCCTATGGCTTTTATTTTAGTGGGAGACACTTCGTTTCCATTGATTTTTTGCAGACTTTTTTTTCCAGCCATGAAATTAGGAAATTATCTCGACCCCCGCCACATGCGCAAGACCTTAGGGTGCGGTGTCATAGCAAAAATAGTGATCATATGTACGAACACACAAACAATATAGTAAGATGATGACACATGAAAACTCCTTTGACCTACCTTCATGTTGTCCCCAAGGGGCCACTCGAGCGGTTGCCAATCTCGCCGCGGCTGGCACCCCCTCCCTCGCCATCGCTGGACGTACTTGATGGCCGAAGTCCCGTGTGGGTTTGCCGCGGTGGGATGGTTTCATAGCCCCTTTCCCTCGCCCTCTCTCCCCATAACTCTAGTGCGAGTCACCACCAGCGGGGCTTCCCTATCGCATCAACAGAGGTCGGTCGCATGGTTCTCGTGGCTCGGATAGCCGCGCTGTGACTCACTTTGTCCTGGGGGTAGACCAACCTGGAGCTTGCTCCGGCCTAGATCTGAGGCCCAATGGGGCTCTTCGTCCCGGTTCGATGGTTGCATCATGGGGGGTTGTGGACATCGCTCTCCCGGTGAGGTAGTCATGGCTAGGTGCGTCGGTGGATGCCTCACCCGATCTTGGCTAGGGGCTTGCTGCCTGAGGTGCCCGCGCTTGCCCAGATATGGTGGATGGTCGGGGTCCTTGAGCTAAATGGCGGTTCGTGACCACCATCTTCAACTTGTGGGCTAGAGTTCCTGTCATTGCGGTTGCTTCCCCTTGCCTAGTCCTGTTGCTAGCAGGTGGGGGCGCTAGGGGTTGTGATGTGTTTTCTCCGACTGGCGTATCCACGTCGAATGGTAGTGATAAGAGTGTGGTGTTTCTAAGACACCGAGGAAGCGGCCCTGG